CAAAACGCTCTTTCCTTTTGCCACACAGACGCGCCCCCTGATAGCAGAAGATGGTACTGCAGCGCACCATTGGGTTTTGGCTGAATCTGAACTGGAAGGATGCCCGGTTGTATGGAGGGACTCATAGTATCATTCCTGTATACCAGACGTCTCCTGAAGGAAGCAAGCTTCAAGAAGACGACTAGACCAGATAAGATTTATCTCTTTTTTTTCCATCGTCAAACGTAAAGATAGAATAAGGGGGTGGGGAATAGAGGATCTTTGTCTTGTCTGGTTTGAATAGTTTGTTAGTTTATATGCACAGACTGTTTGGACGTCAAATGTATACATGCTTCGACGTCCATTTGCACATTTCGACCTGCGTCTTCAGCTTATGGCTTTGCGTATTTTGATATTTGCGTGTTTGGATTCTTCCGTGCCAGATGCAGCATTTTGAAACTGTTTCTTATTTGGAACATCATTTTCCCCTTTTGGATTTTCGTGTTTGGATTCTTCTGTGCCAGCATTTTGAAACTGTTTCGTATTTTGACCTTCATCTTCAAATTTTGGATTTTGCGTGTTTGGATTCTTCCGTGCCAGCATTTTGAAACTGTTTCGTATTTTGACATTCATCTTCAAATTTTGGATTTTGCGTGTTTGGATTCTTCCGTGCCAGCATTTTGAAACTGTTTCGTATTTTGACCTTCATCTTCAAATTTTGGATTTTACGTGTTTGGATTCTTCCGTGCCAGCATTTTGAAACTGTTTCGTATTTTGACCTTCATCTTCCATTTTGGATTTTGCGTGTTTGGATTCTTCCGTGCCAGCATTTTGAAACTATTTCTTATTTTGAACTTCATCTTTCCCCTTTTGGATTTTCGTGTTTGGATTCTTCTGTGCCAGCATTTTGAAACTTTTTCGTATTTTGACCTTCATTTTCACATTTTGGATTTTGCGTGTTTGGATTCTTCCGTGCCAGCATTTTGAAACTGTTTCGTATTTTGACCTTCATTTTCAAATTTTGGATTTTGCGTGTTTGGATTCTTCCGTGCAAGCATTTCGAAACTTTCTTATTTTGAACTTCATCTTTCCTTTTTGGATTTGCGTGTTTGGATTCTTCCGTGCCAGCATTTTGAAACTATTTCTTATTTTGAACTTCATCTTTCCATTTTGGATTTTGGCTGAATCTGAACTGGAAGGATTTTCACATTTTGGATTTTGCGTGTTTGGATTCTTCTGTGCCAGCATTTTGAAACTTTTTCGTATTTTGACCTTCATTTTCACATTTTGGATTTTGCGTGTTTGGATTCTTCCGTGCCAGCATTTTGAAACTATTTCTTATTTTGAACTTCATCTTTCCATTTTGGATTTTCCGTGTTTGGATTCTTCCGTGCCAGAATTTTGAAACTATTTCGTATTTTGAACTTCATCTTTCCATTTTGGATTTTGCGTGTTTGGATTCTTCCGTGCCAGCATTTTGAAACTATTTCTTATTTTGAACTTCATCTTTCCCCTTTTGGATTTTCGTGTTTGGATTCTTCTGTGCCAGCATTTTGAAACTTTTTCGTATTTTGACCTTCATTTTCACATTTTGGATTTTGCGTGTTTGGATTCTTCCGTGCCAGCATTTTGAAACTGTTTCGTATTTTGACCTTCATCTTCAAATTTTGGGTTTTGCGTGTTTGGATTCTTCCGTGCCAGCATTTTGAAACTGTTTCGTATTTTGACCTTCATCTTTCCATTTTGGATTTTGCGTGTTTGGATTCTTCCGTGCCAGCATTTTGAAACTGTTTCGTATTTTGAACTTCATCTTTCCATTTTGGATTTTGCGTGTTTGGATTCTTCCGTGCCAGCATTTTGAAACTATTTCTTATTTTGAACTTCATCTTTCCATTTTGGATTTTGCGTGTTTGGATTCTTCCGTGCCAGCATTTTGAAACTGTTTCGTATTTTGACCTTCATCTTTCCATTTTGGATTTTGGCTGAATCTGAACTGGAAGGATTTTCACATTTTGGATTTTGCGTGTTTGGATTCTTCCGTGCCAGCATTTTGAAACTGATTCGTATTTTGAACTTCATCTTCCCATTTTGGATTTTGCGTGTTTGGATTCTTCCGTGCCAGCATTTTGAAACTGTTTCGTATTTTGACCTTCATCTTCAAATTTGGGTTTGCGTGTTTGGATTCTTCCGTGCCTGCATTTGAAACTG